AACGCAAGTATTGTAATTGTTTTCTCCTGAATCATGATTGCACGCCAGCGACGTTATCACAGTTGATCAAGTGCAACAGCTGAGCAAATCGATTTAAAGATATTAGTCAGGGAGACTAATGCTTTTATTGTTTCACTGTGAAAACCTTTTTGCCCATACAAACTAAGTGTGCCTTTTGATATCTTTATCAATTTTATTTTATCTGCACTGAAAGGTGTATGGATTACGTTAAAAGCGAAAATAAAACGAAACGAAAACTTGTCGTATTTTCACTAGTTCAGGTTTTTTTTTTTAAAAACCGTCATTTTTTTGGAAAAACTGTTGATGCTTTATGTTAAACAATTAGCAGAATCATTTCCCAATGTTCGCCAATCCCAAAATTGGGCTTACCAGAATTATCAATTTTCTGGCTAAATGCCGCCGGTAGTAGCCATCAGTGTCATCGTTAACCAGAAATGTCGGGTGACAAGCATTTACATAACGTTGCTCGACTGGGACGTCCGTGCGATTGATGATTCGCCTATTAACGTCGAGACGATGCCCCAGATCACGCTTGATCTACCGCTACGGGCGATTGCGTCGTGGAAATATAACTCGCACATATAACGCACGTAGTTTGCGCGAACGGTGGTCACTTCCGAATTATTGTCGTTCATTGTACCTGGCAGTACTAAAATGCTCTAGAGACAGCACTGTGGCTTTATGTGAAGACGAGGTATCGGGTTAGTGAGGGGTGCTTATGCTATTTTTGCCGATCGTTTTTTGGATCGAGCGCTATTAACAAAAGATGACTAATGAAAAGCGAGCGTATGCCGATGATTGGACAATACTACGCGACGAACGAAAGAAAAATTTACACCACAGAGAGATTTAAATGTCGTATCGCCCGTCACTCATGTAGCGTAAATTTGATCCGTAATGAATTCGCGCGGGGTTTTAAATTTTGATCACCAGACCGCGAATGACGTGTCGTCAAGCCACGACAATGGGCCGTGAAGATAATTTTGTGCCTTGCCGCAAGGTAACAGTAAATGTCACTGAACAGTTTATCAGTGGTTTTGGAATCTTTTGTAAGTAAGTTCTGGATTATATTTGTGCAATTTCTAACAGTCAATTTTTAACAGTAAATGTCACCAAATTTATTGCTAGAGGTCTTAAAACTTTTTGTAAGTTTTAATTATCATATGTCCAAACGGAAACTTGTGAAAATATTTTTAAAGAGAACGAAAGAAACAGACACTTTATATAATCGAGCAGTGTATCATAAATTTGAATTTAATATTTTTAGTAGTCAATTTTTAATAGTAAATGTTACTGAACATTTTGCTAGTGATTTTAGAATCTTTTATATATATATTAAGTTTTAAATATTACTTGTGGAAACGATACTTTTGTCAGTATTTTTAAAGAAAGCGAAAGAGATAAACGCTTAATATAACTCAGCAGCGTATCATAAATTTTAATTTAATATTTTTTTTAATAGTCAATTTTTAATAGTAAATGTCACTGAACATTTTCCCAGCAGTTTTGAAACTTTTTATAAGTTTTAAATGTCATTCGTAGAAACGGAACTTTTTAAAGATATTTTTAACTGTGTTAAGTTTAATTATAATTTAAATTAAAATAATTAAACGTTTTTAAAGTAAAATTTAATATTTTCAATAATATAATTCCGATAAATTTAAAATTAATTACACAGAGTACAGTGGAAAATTTTAATTGTTATGATTTATAATAATTTTTTTGGAATAAACGTTGAATTGACTTGTTTGTAGATGAAATTTCTAGAAATCTAAAATTACAATCACAAAACTCGCAAATATAGAGAAGCTCACTCCTTAATTTTTTATAAAATGTTGTACAATAAACATAATGTTTAATGAACGAAATTTTTGGCTTTTCTCACGAGTTTTGATTCGAGGAATCGCAGCTATTTTTGCCAATTCCGTGTATGTTAAATACACGAAATACACGAAAACCGCAGGCAAGATGATAGACAACAGTAACGAATCGTAAAACGAGGCATGCGATCTGAGATTGCATTACGTGTGAAGTAACATGGCGATTTATGCATGCGAAAAGTTGGCCGAGAAATTCTGAAATCTTAGCGGCATGTATGTATCTACATGAGCGCGAACTGCTGCACGCACGCAAACGCTCGTGTCCGAGAATCAATATTTGCAGACGCTTCCAATAAAGGAGCTCGTAATTTCGAGAGGAAGTCGTTGGCACGAAGAGCAAAGTGGTTTCCGTGTCTGCTCGTGACGGGCTATTAGGAGTTCTCACTGGTTAAGTGTAAGTTACAGTTTTGACACGAATGTCCATTACGTTCCTCGGTGCCTTTTGACAAAAAGAAAATCAATACGATACATTAATTAATTCTAGAATAATCGAAGGGATCACAAACTATTAACAAGAGAACATTTCTAATCGATAAGAAAGCTCTTGACGTTCTCTCGCGCTACAAATTTTTTATTAATTTGAAACTATCTCGAATGGTCTAAAAACACTTGACTATCAACAAAATAACTGGACTCAATGGTTCCATTAAACAGTTGTATTTTTTTTTTTTAGACAAGACGAGAATCTGATATTGAAGCGCTCAGTTTTCGACAAACTGTGTCACAATGCGTTCCGGAAAATCTACGACGTCAACTGTGCCTAGGCCACTTATTTTTATACAAAACTTCGGTGTGATTTTTTTCGGGTCAGCTCGCCGCTCATTTGACACTGATCTTGGAAGTAGTGAACGCAGAAAGAAACTGCTACGCGAAATTAAGGCACGTGAAACACGTCAGCTGTCTATCAACGAGCTCGCACGAAGGCGTTCTCTTCTATTTTATTCAGCAGGCGCGAAGCTTCTCGAAAGATTATTTTTCTCAATATGATATTTCAAAGATGATTCTCTCATACTTGTGGTTTGCTTGAATGATTAGAAGACACGTCACAGGAAGGTTTCTACAACACGTTTTCTGCGACAGCATATTACGTATGTTACATGTATAACAATGTGTGAAATAATGTTAATTATAAATAATTAAATTATCTTCTTCAATTAAATTATATTTAGGGTGTAAAAGAGGATGGGTTATCTTAATTACACATTCAAAGTTTAATGATATATTTCAATAACATGCAGAGTTTACATCAAGGGTGAGTTATGTAACGTCAACTCGATAGAGCATATAGCTTTATTTCTTTCATTGGCATTCCATTGTCATGGAAAAGAATAAAATAAAATAGTAATATCGTGGTAATGCTGACCGAGTGGAAAATACAGTAAATACAGTGGAGCGATCGTTTCGGTCGCATTCTAGGTACAATACTTATTTGGCAACAATTAACAACAATCGAGATCAAAGATCATCCACGTAGTGATTCTCCCAGCTTTGACAAAGCTTTCAGAGCAACCTCGGCACAAGTACCATTTTATGAGTGTTGATCCCAAGGTATATGCGAGATTCCTATGATCTCAAAACTGGAATTTCACACGACGCACAGTAGGATATTTGTCCGATTTAGGCGGCCAAAAATCAATTTTTTAAAACTTATTCCAAATTAAAAATAAAGACTACTTGAAAAAGCTAAAGAGTCGGAAAACAAATTGACTACCTAGTGTCCGTCGTTACGCGTAAATAAGCGATCAGTATATCGAATCCTATCGTTATTTTCTTGAGCAAATTCTAACAAACTCGAGGATATTAGTATAAGTAGGACTTCAGGGTATTTCTCGATAATTTTTATATATTAATAAAAAGATAAAAGTTTCTAGATTTCTATTTCACGATTTTGTAAAAACCAGCCGCGGAATCACGTGGTTATCCGTGTAATATAGTTAATATAAATTTATTAAAATATTAAATAAGAATTTCTTGACCTCTTATGTGTTTATTTTTTATTTCAATTATTTGAATTTTATTTTAGAATCGCTGAATGTCAAAATAATGATTCGAGAAAACTTTTGTTCAACAACTTGTTGTTGATGTAACAGCAAAATTTACCAAAAAATTAGAACATTAACAAAAAATTAGAATTTTCAGAAAATTAACTTATTAATCTCTGAAAATTATTTAAACGAAATAAAGAAGATAAAACATCAAAAACTATAATAAATAAAAAAGAAAGATAAATTAAAATTTTTTAAAATTAAATTAATTAAATTACAATTTTTTAAACTAATATTAAGATTTAATAATAGTAATATTTTTTAATTAATTAAATAAAATTAAAAAAATAAAATTTAATATACATATATATCCTGTAAAAGTTGAACTATATTTTTTCATAGAGAAATAATATTTCCTACAGCTTAAAATACAATAAATTAATAAAACGACATTTCAATTCACTTAAACTATAAAAATAATTTAGGCCTAAATCGGTCAAATACTCAACTGTGCGATGTGTCGATAGGACGTACAGAAGAGATTCGCGATGAGATCGGAGATCGCGAGATCTCCAGCCGCTGGTGAAACTTCTGGCAGTAAGGGTTCTAATTGTAAGATTAAAAATGCGCGGAGTGTCGCTAAAACGTTTGATAGATCCGGAAAACAAGAATTGTGGAATTTGAACGATTTTAAACCACTTGGAGCGTATCATCGAGATTACTTCAACATACTTAGCTATTTAATCTAATCGAGGAGAAGCGCGTCGCGTTCCTTTCGCGATCGATAAATCGTCACTTACGAATCAGCAACGATTATCGTCGACGAACGCACGGCATCCGATAATAGAAAATTGTATTTAATTCGTTTTCAAAATGGATAAAGACTCGCGAATGCTCGAGGTACGAAATTTCTCTACGAGTGTAAAGGCGCGATAACGTTCTAGGTGGTAAATTACAATTCGGTGAGACAATAGACGAGAAATATATGTCCTTCGCGGGGAAGCAGAATTAAAGTGTCGTCGAGCGTCGCGAGAAACGCTCGATCTCGTCAAATCGCAACGAGTAGTCGCGTGTCTCTCTAACAACGAAACCCTTCTCTTCCGGCTGTCTTGTTCCTCGAACTTTAAGGATCATTTTATTGAACCCACGAGGCTGGTACCCAAAGCGGCTCAGATTCCACTCTATGGATTGCGTTGATTAGTTGCTCGAATGTCATGGAAAGGTCAGCGTTCACAATCACCTCGTCGAAAAGGTGAGAATACAAGAACTCTATCCTTTCTGCACTGTGCAGGATCTCGTGGAATTCTTCGTCCTGCAATAGGATATAAGATTGATGATAAAATACAATCCTGAACTTACTCTCTTAGACTGCAAAGATGTTTATTGTTAACCTTTCGGAATTGACGACGAAATGTGTAACATAGTTATTTCTGCTGGATCTGTGAGACCTATTTAATTTATGTTGGCTAGACACTAATTAATTTTAAAAAACTAAAATGATATAAATCTAATTAAATACGAAAATTTCTATATTCGGTCAAAGCATTTAAAATTAAAAAGATGTTCTTAATAAATAACTTAAACATAATTATTCAAACATTAACTGTTTAAAAATAGATAAATAGAAGAATTCTAAATTAATGTGCAAAATATTAATATGCTCCGACAATGCTCCTTTTGAAGGCAGCTCATAGTGCTTAAATATTTCTTGTGTGCATTTATATACATATCTAATTCTGCATATTATGCGCTGAAACCTTTTTCGGTCTTGAAACGCCATCATGAACAGAACCAAAATAGTAGTATCACTTTATTAAATTAACAAGCAGTTTAATAATTTTTAATGCTAATAAGCATCTAGTAAGGATATTCAATATTTGATGATAATAATCATCTTAAAAACTGCTAATGCCTTTATTGCAAAGAATATTACCTTAAAATAATGTGACTCGTATAAAAAAATAAATATCAAGTTTATTTTAATAACAATAATTTAAAAAATTGTAGATATAACACAAAAAATATAAAAAATATAATTGAGTCCATAAACCCACCGTCATCTCTGAAGAGTTAAATATTAGAATATAGTGAACGAAAAGATAACAGTAAGTAAGTACTTTCAGTGTCATGTCACGAATACTTAGGTGTCGCATAACATTCGTAAGAGTTTATTTGTAACGATTTTATCCAATTAAGAATGATTTTACTAATTGTAAGTATTTCAAATTCGTAAAGTTCGAACATTAAAAAAACAATGTAAATTATATTAAGACATTAAAACAATAAAATATATTAAAATAATATACTAAATTTATTAAGCTCAATGTAAAACATCAGCATAACAGTCAGAATAGTAAATTTAAAAAAGAATCAAGTTATGAAATCAAGTTAGAAAAATGTGATTTATTTGTCACAACCTGTGTAAATTTCCAACTTTACCGTGAAGCCTCGAGAATTGCTCTCGTCAAAGGTCGACCTCGCTCGTGCTTCATTTCTGGTGTCTTTTAGCACTTCGAACGTCGGCGGTTTCACATATATGACGTATGGCCTCAATTGCGGTGTCCTTAGCATCTTGAGGGCTTGATAGTGAGGACTTAAGAGGCACACGTATCCGGCGTTCACGAGCGAGCTGACGCTCTCGGAACTGGTACCGTATAAATTTCCCTTATACTCGCCATACTCGATGAACTTTCCAGCCTCGATGTCCTCCTCCATTTTCTCCCGAGTCATGAAGTGGTACTCTTTGCCGTTTATTTCACCTGGTCGCGGTGGCCTCGACGTGTCTGATAAAAAAACTTTTCGTTTAAAAAGAATACTAGATCGATAAATTAATTGGATATTTCCCGCATAATTATTTATATAAATTATTTTAACTTTTTTGATAGATTTACTAAACACTTTTTGTGTTGATTCTCTTATTTCTCAAATTACTTTTACCTCGTGCCTTCATCGTCGATTTAATTTTCTCATTATAGTAATTTCTTAGATTTACTGAATATAATATGTACGATTTTTCCACTTTTAATTATGTCATAATATTTATGAATTTAATTGGTCTTTTAACCTTTAATTAATTACGCAAGTCACCGCGATCCCCGTCATTTTATTTAACGGCATAATCGAATATTTCCGCATGATTAACTAAAGGTTAAGCTAATCTCTCCCTTCTTATCTTAGCTGTGAGTTTCTTGGTAAACTTACAGGGAACAGGAGTCTTGTACTTTTCGGTATCAGTCGCTATGAGCCGCCTCTTCAACTCGTTCCTACCGACTCCCGGTGGCCCAATGAGAACCACCGGCCGATACAGGCCCGGCCTGGGGTAGAGTTTCGCGACCTCTTCGTAGGTCGGTACCTCTTCCCGGTCGAAGTCGTCGTTCTCTGCAGCGTCATATATGATTTTTTTAGTTTTAGTTCCTTGCAAGTTGCACTTTGTAGGCGAGGCGTGCAAAGAGGTACTGGGACGGGGGCACAATGCGGGCAAAGGCACTGGAACAGAACACAAGCCTAACCGACGGTTAGGTCGTCAGGCCATCCATTTGTTAAAGAAGCGCAGCTGAGATTAGCTTACTGAATTAACGGGTAACCACCTCGGACACAAATCTATCGCGCACTCAACCGGCTGATCCTAAAGTGTACTTAAGGTGGTCACTAACGAACTCAATTCATTATGCAACATCGCTACTTTTACGCCAAAATCAGCGGCAAGCTTTAACAATATCAGCCTTCAAACAGAGCATTCTCGGAGCATATTGGCATTTTACACATTAATTTAGCAATAATTATGTTTAAACTATTTATGAAGGAAATAATTTTGATTTTAGAAAAAAGATAATATTCGATACTTTTTTTATGTATTGTACTTGACACACACACACACACACGCACACACACATATGTATGTATATTTCAATATTGGCATTTCGCAAGGTATGTGTTTTCAAAAAATTTAAATTAATTCTGGAAATTTATTTAAAAAAACATAAAATTCTGTCAATATACTCCAAGCAACTATTGACATCTATTTCAGTAATAATTGCGGATTTCGTGCAACATTGATCGATATATATCTGCCGTTAAACAATATATGTATAAACATCAAGAATATGAAAACACTCGACGATTATATGACTCGATGAAATGAATGATTTTGAAATAAAATCAAGACAAGCGAATTATTCAAACAAACCCATTGACATACTTATATTGTCTTCTTCTGGTTTCTCCTTCTCTTTCTCCTTCCTTTCAAGAAGAATTCTACGTTCTTGAAGAGCTCTGCTAGGGATCAAACCTGCTCTCATATTTCTATCACCTTCTCGTCTGGCTTGCCACCTATATTTATAATCAGCATCATTATAATTAATATTAAACAAAAATTAAGAGAAATGTCCAACACAAATGAATGAAAAAGGTCATATTCATAGATTACACAACTAAGTAATGAAAAACCTACATAATGAGCTGTATATAAAATTCGCAATGAAATATTCAAGCACTAATTGTAAGATCATTGCCCAGCTTATATCATGTAGGCTTTACATTACTTAATTGTGTATTCACATATCACTTATGATATTTTGCATTTAGATTATATGACGACCTATCTTACCAATAAGCGTCATCTTGACTGACAATATGCAGAACATCACCCTTGACAAAATCTAATCCGGCTTCTTTACAGGGAATGTAAGGGTCGTCAGCAGCCACATACGAAAAGTGTGCTTTGACGCGAACCTAAAGTTATATATATTTAATTTATACATATTTGCAATATAGATTTGTTCTATCTGATCTAACGATCTGTCAGAGATCTATTGTTATTGCGACTATTACCTTGCTCTCCCTGATTCCACTTTTGCTATCTGCGGGTACTATTTTAAAAGTGATTGTCCCTTCTGAATTTTGCTGAAAAAGAAATTTACGTAAGAATTTTTAATAGTAACGCTCTGTTTATTTAAAAATCAAAACAGGTACTCGAATACTGTATCTTATTACATCAGTAATGGAACGTTTAAGTAGAAACTTCAAAATTTCGCATGGTTTCTTAAAATAATATCACACGTTAAATATACAGTATATTATGTACTATTATTTTATAAAATAACAAATGTAAAAATGATCCAAGTGATTTTGAAAACTTCATCGAAATACACTACTGCTTAAGCTGGGAGCTTCTCAAAATTTAATCAGTTTTATTTATTAACATTGTAAATGAATAAAAGTTTGTTTCTACCATAAATTTTATTCCAAGTAGTGAACATAAATAAAATTGATACTTTTAATAAAATAATTATATTTAAAGAATCTTGTGCTTTTATGTAAAAATTACAGTTTTACTATTTGAAAATTTTCGAGCGGTAGTTGTGCCTCTTATATTTACCGTATTTGCTAATAATGAGATAAGAAAATGTTTAGCCTACCAAAATGTGTAAAACAAAACTAGGTGTCTTTCCCTCGACGCTGATACCGTTGACTTCGCAGACCTCGTCACCGACGTGGATGAGACCAGATCGGTCGGCTGCGCCGCCATGCATTATCCGTGCGATTACAATCTTGCCGGTGATTTCGCAGGTTTTTATGGTCGCCCCCTAATGTCAAGGTGTAAAACCTAATATTGTCATTGCATTGCATTTCGCGCGCGAACGCGTACTAGGGAGTGCCTTCTTTCACTTCTTAAAAAAAAAATGGATAAAAATAAAAGTCTTCATATAGAAAGGCAGACGCGATATTAAAATCGGCATGCGCCCGACGATTTTTTCATGGCACAATCGATCGATTGAAATCATCGAAATTGTGCAATACAAAAATAGACGAGCACAGGGCGCACCGATAATATAAATATCCAAAGGGTATCATAAAGTTATTTGAAATGTGTTTAATTTTTTAATTATCAATTATTTGTAACGAATCTTTTAAAACCTCCTTTGAAGATTCATATTATTTAGAGTACTTTCTGTGAGTACTTCTCTGTGCATTTCCCGAGATAAACAGAAGTAGGCATTTTAAATAATTTGCAAAATAAATGTAACAAAGGTCAAATCGCATCTCGAGAAACACGTACCGTGAAATGCAGTTACCGGTGATTATTTAATTGTGATTGCTCGAAGAGAAAAGGTGAATTTCATTTAATATCTTGCTATGTTCTCGTTTCTTTGACCATGATATTATATTTATTTAATGCTTTGCATATAACAAACTTGTATTTTTTTATATATTTTCAAAAATATGAAATTACAACAAATAGTGAGTTTCATTTATACTTTTGAATTTTATGTGTTTAAATTTAGTTTATACAGAATATATTTGATTCAAGCATATTTTTTCAAGACGAGCTTTCGTCAAAAGGTAACTCCACTTCAAGATACATCAAATACAGTCATGCGGGACAATAACAACAAATACAGTGATACAACAGATTTTATTTACAAAGCAAAAGAACAACTCAAACAAGACACAATGCAATGGACGCAACCAAAGGCAAACAAACAAATGAACAAACTTGTGCAAGGAAGGAAAGGACATGACAACGCTTCATTTACAAATGAATTTATATCCTGTGATCGCAGTACGATAACGAGGAAAGGATTGATTAGAGATCTACGTTGAAGCAGGGATTGAAACCGGTTTAATTCTGACTGATCTTTGACTTGATCAATCCAGATTTTTGTTCCGAGTACTCGTAATTTCCGTTGCCGCTCCTCGCCCGTCTTACGACAACGGAAGTGGCATGCGATAAAGTTCTACCAGTTTCGATCCCGACGCTAAAAGTGAGCGGTGAAAACGAAAAGAATGACGGCTGAGGTACAGGGCAGTTTCGTACGACGTAAAGTCAGGTGTTCATCACAGGTGCTCAGCACATGTTCTACGGCATTCAGGCGACTTACCACGATCGGTTCAACGCCGGCGTCGCCCTTCGAAGCAAGTTTGACGATGAAAGAAACACGTGATTACTTGGTTACTTTATCTTCGCACTCGTGAGGCTACTCGTCATACACTCGGAGGATTCTCTCAGTGTCCAAGTTACGAACTATACGTGACTCGCCTGTCTACGCCGATACTGGGGAGCGTTTTACGCGTCTCATGCAAGTCGACGCGAATGTACAACCATGTGTGGGCGGAAAAACGAATCTTTGACGCTCTTGCAAAAAAAAGTAAACTACTTTTGACAAATTTCCCCTCCCTACCCCTCCCTACGGCTTCTTAAAAAAACACAAACGCGTACATTACACTCGAATTGCTACTACTCGATTGACAATTATGCCTTTTCTCTCCCTCTTACGCTATTGCTCACACTCTTGGGTTAATTGAGTAAAAGACGCTCAGAAAGACACCGTTATTACAAATGCCGATTCAACGATCGATACGACGTACCAGGGGCTCGTTCGATTTCACTAGCTGGACGATCTTCACCGTTTCCTCATCCTCGTCTACTTCCAATGGAATATCCGGTAGCCTTGGATAGTAGTCCTTTTGCGCCACCGCATCATGAGCACAGAGGAGACCCTTCGATGAGAAGAAAGTTGTTTTAGAATACACTCTCAGAAACGGTGAAGTTTCATTTCTTCATAGAACTATTAAATTAGAAACAATAAAAGGAATTGACATTTGCAAAGAAAATTTGCAAACAATATTTCATTCCTTTGTTTCAAAAATGGCATAACCCAAAAAGATTTACTTTAAAAAAAAAAGAAAAATTATTTTTCAACAGAAAGTTATCAACTAATCAAATAATATATCGACAAGTATATGGTATATACTTTTAGAAATACGATAAATGTAATTTTTTGTCCATTTCCGTTTTATAAACCTTAATGAACCCTTTTTAAAAATCACAAAGCTGTGATAATTTCAATATCCTACAAAATTATAACAAATTCAGAATAATTTATCAAAAATGATGTAATTCGAAACATCACCAACAGTTTATACTTATCTTGATTAAATTCAAAATGAGACAATTTCTTCTTCGAACTTCGATCAAAATAGTACTTAACTGTAAATATTTTTAATAGAAGATTTTCGTTTTTATTAATAAAAACAATTCAAGGCACAACATTAACTTAACGTACAAAATATATTCTATATATTATTATAATTACCTGGATGTGTGGTTTCTGCAACAAGTGGAATAGCTCTTTGCAATCGGACGAGACGTGCGTTTTGGTCGACAACAGATCGAGAACTTCGACATCGATGTCCATCGAGTTTGAGAGCACGGGGAAGAATTTATCATCCTTAACATTGTTGAGGATCTTATTATGAACGTGCACCAGGGCATTCAGTTCTTTGGACTGCAGCAGCTCACTGAGAAATCCAAATTCCTCCTCGGTACAGCTGGGTATCTCCGACTTGTTCTCCTGCAGCGAGTTCAGCAACTTGGACAACGCTGGAATAAAAGTGAACAGCTTAAATCTGAGATACAATTGAAAAGCACAAGCAATAGAAATAGTTTGAAATCTATTATTCCCTGTTTCTATTGGCCTTTTCAATTGTGCTTTTCAATTGTGCTTCAGACTTCAGATTCGACTATCTGATAAAAATATTGAAAATTCGCTAAATATTGAAATTTTCGCTGACGCAGTTGAATTCGATCTCCGTGTTAAAATGACTTATAAAGTTGATTAAAACAGTGAAATTTTGAAAAACTGTTGTGTCTCCATTTCTCCATTTAATCTCCGTCAGCTTCTTTTATTATCTTCCGCTTAATATAAACTCCAGCGTAAAGTATAAGCGTGTATTATTAGAATCAAATAGCGCGCTAATTACATTCTCCATATTTCAATACGGAAGTACTAAAATTGGAAACGGTGTAACGAACTCTTATCTCTTTTCTACATAATTCGATAATTATTTTAATTCAAAGGCGCAAGGATTTCTCGCGGCGCTTATGCGCCGATCGATGCCATCGATATCGGATTCATTTCAAAACGCGAATCACTCGTCCGAGACCTCATTTTCATTCAAGCAAATTGGAACACGCGGAAATGTGCGCGGTAGCGAATTGGAATATCGGCACACCAGCGTTTTATCAGAAGAGACGCCGTTATTACTCGTACAGTTTATTTACTCTGCTTTACCCTCGCTCTATATTTATAACGTGCCACGCTCACGCCCGACACGCAACGTTTTATTAATACGTCTTTGAAGAGTATTCAGTCGCGTATTGGATTATGCTCCGTAACTTGCTCCAGTAACTCTCTCTCTCTCTCTCTCTCTCTCTCTCTCTCTCTCTCTCTCTCTCTCTTCACTTATACGGAAACATCAGGGGGAGGTCTTATCGACACGCGCCGCCGCTACCACAACAATAGGTCAACTTCGTCGAAAACACCCTCGCCGCGTGAAGCACCACCATCCCTTATATCTCGCGGCGCAGTACGATCGTGTCAAGGGTGAAACGTAAAAAAACACGTGAAAACATCCTCGTCGACGCTCCGAACCGGTTCGGAACCGAGACGTCCCTTTCCAAAGGTGTCCAAAGCAACGTATGTCGACCCGCCGTCCGTCAACTTACCGGGGTCCCAGTTAACGTTTTCCATGACGACCGCCGCTGTCATAATTCGCACTTGGCACCCCGGTCCCGCGTTTCCGAGGCGAGGACGACGTGGGCGTAGCGACGCTCGGCGTTCGTTTAAGCGACAGGTATCAGAGACGGCGATAGCGGGATCCGGGTCGGCGTATTTCTGTCGGGGTCGCGCGCTGCGCCGTCGCCGCCGCGTCGACGGCCCTCCCGGCGACGATGCTGTCTCGCTGCTGCTGCTGCTGCCGCCGCTTCCTCGCGTCAACGTGTCGCGTTCGCGCTGTCTGGAGTGTCGTTATCATAGCGAGAATAATCCGTTACGTAAGCAGCTGTCACTCGACACGGGGTAGGATGACCGCCACCGGATTGGCCTGCTGTCCCTGCCCCGTGCGACTCTTCGGCATAGTACGCTATTCTCTCTTTCTCTCTCTCTCTCTCTCTCTCTCTCTCTCTCTCTCTCTCTCTCCCTCTCTCCCTCTCCCTCCCTTCCTTTCGTTCTCTTTCTCTCTCTCTCTCTCTTTCTCTCTTGCTGACTCCTTCGATTTCTCTCTCCTTCGCGTACGTATGAAATCTGCTCCGAAATCCGACGCACTCTCGGAAGATGCACTCTCACGCGTTCACAACTGAGAAACCCTTTCTCGTGCACTAGTGCACCCCCGATGAAGCTCGCACGTACTTCACGTTTCTCCGACGCGGCGGCCACGGCACCGGTGCCATGTTGAAAGGCGCCGCGGACAATACGCTCCGCGCACCCTTCGTTGGCCTCTGCTCCGTTTCCGACTCGCCCGACGACAGCCTGATCGTTCCGTCTCGCTTTCCCTGCTGCTCGCGTGGGTAGCGAAAAAGAGATGGATTCTCGTCGAAACTCGACCCTATCTTTGTATTCGCGCAGGGACGGCATTGGTCGAAAGTCATATGGTCATCTCGAGGCTGCATCTTCGGCTGCCAAACAGATTTTTCTACTAGTTTGAATTTATTATATTGTTAAATATTAAAGGAAACAGTGGTGATGCAATTTCTTGAGTTAAATAACATTTTGTTATTTTTATATTAGATTTATTTTGCATTGAGAAGAATCGAAAATGTTAAAACGTCGGTACAGTAAGAATTTTTTAATATAATAAATATTTTTTACGTACTGATAACTGCATGGATTCTTAATTGACTCCTTTACTTCTTTTTATTAGATTTATTCTTAGAACCGAAGATTTTGTATTCATATCGTTATATTCTGTTATTTTAATTTTTACGTGTGACAAAATGTAAATCAATTCATTTCTAATTGAATTGCTAATTTCAAAATAAACAACCTTTCTATATTAAGTGTGCACTTTGCAATTAATAATTTGAGTGTAATTTATATATTTTTTTAATTAAATTGTTTCGCTCCATTGTTTCAATTAAATTAATAATATATTAAATGGGAGCAAATGGCGATCAATAGAAATGATTCAAAGTACCTCAAATTGGATATAATTTGACATTGCAAATTAAACAGTGTAATTTGTAATTTGTATAAATGATAATAAGTTTGAAAAATTGGCGAGATTTTTTTAACGTCTTTGGTGTACAAGAAAATTTTTGTGTGGTGTATTTATATGTATTATTTAGAAGAAATAAAAATTTCAACACAACAACTTCAAATGAATAATGCACTTAAAATCGCATGATCGATTATGATAATCACAATAAAAATGTGCTCTATATATGTATACAAAGTACTAGATATAATACAAAAATTTTAAAAATGCAGATTGAATTAGTTGAATTATTTGAACAGAGAACTTTTGCGCGAAACGTTAGATGTTTCAACAATTTCAAATAAGTTAAAAACATAAAAATTTTAAGAAAGATAAAAATAGATTATTGAAAAAAAAATTTTTTAATT